TTAAAAGTCTAAATTTAAGATATATAAAAAGTTTTATCTATGAAAATGAGCTGTTTATTCCATTTTAGTCCATTTTAAATGTCATATCCACCTCAGAATTGTATTAAACACAATACATCACTTGAGACGTGATGGAAAAGACATTGTGGTGGAAATTCAACTAAATGAATTTCAACAAAATCACAGAAGTCTCTTGTGAGATATTTATGTTCCCTGTTCAATAATGTTTATTTAAAAAATAAAAAAAAAAGTTATGGACCCCAAACGTTTGAATAGTAAATCCCTCTAGATAGAGGACGAGGAAATGTCTGCCAACCCTGTACACTCCTGTACACACAGGGAATACAATGCAGTGTGTATGTACTAATACAGTATGTGCCTTTTAGGCACTAATATGTACCATTTAGTGGTAAATATGTATACAGTGTACCTTTTTAATATGTACGTTTTAGCTTTTGTACCGTTTAGGGTACTGGCCCAGTGACAGCTTTGTACCTTTTTTTTCTTAGAGTATGTGTCCACGTGACCATTTCTATTGCTTACTTGTTTGAATATCTGTTTGAATGTTTACCTTTGAAAACAAAACTCCATCTGTTAATTTTACTCACCTTTAAAGACATGTTGAGCCATTAACTGATCCTAGACGGACATAAAGTTTAATATTATGTGGGGGAAAAAATAAATAAACCAAACCGATATGATATGATGTTGTTTTCCAGTGTTCATTGGTAAGTGTGATTCTGTAGTGGCGGTAGATGCTATTAAATTCTTGACACTGGACCAAATTTCCACACTGTTTCTCATCCACTTCTGTACTCAAGTCAGGTATGCTGTTACTGAGCAACAACTCTCCATAATAGTCCAGAATTGCTCCTATTGCACTTTCAGCTGCTGCTATTCTAGAAAACCTGCCGTCGCTCGTATTTCCTTGGTTCTATGTACATTCTCCTCCTTTTTTTTTTGTGCAGCAAAACTGAGATTGTCCCCAAAGATATGGGAAATGAGGATCTCTGGGCACATACAGAAGTTCAAACACACACACACTGAGAACAGCAGGGGATTCTGGGAAAGGGGGAGGACTGTTCATAATCACAAAAGCTGACCACACACACTCGCCCTTACATGCACACCCACATACTCACAAAGGCAAGCCATTCCCTAGCCCCTGGCTGCATTTTTTAGCTCCTTTGAAAAGTTTCTTAGAAACACAAGAGAAGTTATGATCCACAGGAAGCCCCATCTGCTTGCGAGGAGAAAGAGTTCATTCACCCAGACACACACGGACATACAAATACACACACAATACCATCCTTTAAACTTCACAAACACTGCATACTCGAATCACTTGATCTGCACTTTTGAGTTTATTACGAGTCCATGTGACAGTGGTCATGTTACGTAACCCTGTTTTACCCTGTTATCCCAGACAGCAGTGATTCTGGGTGTTGTAGGCTGGCTGTCGTGTG